TATGATGGTGACTTGTAAATAAAGATCTGAAGGAAAAGGAAGTGAGGCAGGGAGCTCTGCAGCAGGTGTAAAGGCCCTGAGGGAAGAGTATACCTGCTGTGTTTGAGGGAGGACCTGGAGGCTGGAGTAGCAGGCGTGGAAGACAGAGTGAGCGGTAGGAAATAAGGTCAAAGAGACATGATTTGACTCCTTATTTGACCTCTGGCCACTTTGGTGAATAGACTGGGAATAAGGGCAGAAGCAGATAATCCAGCCGGGAGGCCACTGCCATAATCCAAGAGGAGAATTAATGATTGTGAGGTCGCCAAGGGTGGCAGTGAAGATGGTGAAAAATGGTCAGATCTTGGATACACTTTCAACATAGATCTAGCAAGATTTGCTGATAGAATGGACATAGGACGTGAGAGGAAGAATAATGTTGAAAATGACAGCAAGGTTTTGGCCTGAGCAATGGGAGAATAAAGTTGCCATTAACCAGATGAGGGGCACTGGAGGAAGACTAGTTTGAAGGGACTATCAGGAGGACTCAGTTTTGCTTAAAATGCCTGTTAGACATCCAAGTAGAGATGTTTTCAGGTCTGGGGTTCAGGGAAGATGTCCTGCCCAAGGTATAAATTTATCAGTTATCATCATCTAGCTGGAACTTAAAGTATGGGATCTTGGTGAGTGTGTGTAGAAAGAAAAAAGCCATCTGAGGACTGACTTCTGGGGCACCTCAGGTACCACACAGAGTTATTTTAGAACTGCTACTCGTTTTTCTGAGAACGCATGAGTTCCACTAACACAGTTTCAGATACACTGATATAAAAGAACATATATTGACAATTTGTAGTTGCTTAGTGACAGAGCCAGATATAGTTTTAAAGGTTCTAGAATAAGCCTTTAAAACCTCTCTAGCCCTGGCTTGTGTGATTCAATGGTTAGTGTTAGCCTGTGCGCTGAAGGATTGTGGGTTCAATTCTTTGTCAAGTACATGTACCTGGGTTATAGGTTCGATCCCAGCCTGGTTTGGTGCATGCAGGAGGCAACCAATCAATGTACCTCTCTCACATTGGTGTTTATCTCTATCTCTTTCCTGATATCCCTCCCCGCCACCGCTCCACCTCCCTCGTTTTCACTCTCTCTAAAAATCAGATTTATTACATTTATTTGGATGAGGATTAACAAAACAAACAAACAAACCACACACACACACACACACACACACACACACACACACACACACGCACACGCACACACACACATCTTTTCTAACCTTCCTAGGCATTTGAAGTCCTTTTGGTCTGATTTTTAGTGCTCCAGAGTTCATTTCTTTCATTCAAAATATTTAGTACAGCTGAATTATGTGAAAAGCAGGTAGGTGTTCAGTACAAGGAGGGATAAACTGTTCTAATGCTTAAGAAACTTGAGGGGAAAACTTGAAAGCGGACAAAAGTATGTTTCAGAAATGAGCACTTCCGGAGTTCCCACGGAAGTGGGCAGAGATGGTAGCAAGGCTTGGGCTGAGCACTGAAGGATGTTTAGAAAAGGTAGAAATGAGAGAGTTTTTGGTCATAACTATGGGATAAATGCATAAAACAGAAGAAGAAATGATTAGGTTACCGGCCTAACTAGAGCAAAGAGAGAATGCTGGAGAGAATGGGGAATAAAGTGTGATTATCACAGAACTTCATGCCCAGTGTTGGTAATGGGAACTCTGCTCTAGCAATGATATTGTGTTATGTGCGTGGGCCACTTGGTCATATCCCACACTATACCCTGAGTTATAGAGAATAGTTTATTACTGGAACTTCTTTAGGCCATAATAATGTTATTTTTTTAAATGATAATTTAATGTTTATAGACTATTCCTATAGCTTCTCTTTTCATATCTGTACAATGTAAACAATTTATTTTAATATAAGCATTTCTTAGAGGATTAGTGGTATAAGCTTTGGAACTATCCCTTACCACTTAGAAGTAATCATGTTTCTAACTTTAAAAAAATATATTTTGCTTTTGATTTTTTGACTTTTGGTTTCCACTAAATTATTAGCCCTAACTTCCTTGTTTTTTGTTTGTTTGTTTGATTGTTTTTTGCCTCATAACTTTCTTCTTATATAAAGTACCAAATTTAAGGAAAAAAAACCATAAAAATGCTACTGAAGGTAATGGAGTTTTAGAGATAAGTTTTTATTACATTTATTTTCCCTAGTTAAGAACTATTTAAATGGAAATAGAAAATAAAGTCTTACTGCAGCCTTTTTATTGATAGGGAAAATTGGGTCATGCCTGCCACTTTCCATCTCAGCAGTAATGCAGGGTACAAAATACTAAGTGCACTGGTAACTTTTGACTTGAGAGGAGAGACATTTCTATTGATAATATATCACAAGTCTGCCTTTCATATGGTCCTGCAAAACTCTTATCTCTATGATAAGAGTTTCCATGATTGTTGAAATGTTTTCCTTGAGCTGTGAGAGGCATTTCCCACTCACTGATGGATGCTTAAATACCCCTTTTCTAAGTAGGTCATGAGAAGGAAAGGGAAGAAAGGAATAACACCTACAAGATGTAATTTCCTCAAAAAATTAAAAATGGCACTGCCATTTGACCCAGTGATCCCATTTCTAGGAATATATCCTAAGAATCCCAAAATACCAATCAGAAAGAATATATGCATTCCTATGTTCATAACAGTGCTTGTTTACAATAGCCAAGATCTGTAAACAGTCCAAATGCCTGTCAATAGATGAGTGGGTAACAAAGTTGTGGTACATTTATACAGTGCAATACTATGCAGCAATAAAAATGAAGAATCTCTTACCTTTTGAGACAGCAGGGAGGGCTCTGGAGAGTAATATGCTAAGGAAAATAAATCAGTCAGAGAAAGGCAAGTATCACATGATCTCACTTATATGGAATTTAATGAATAAAATAAACTAATGATCAAAATAGATCAAGAGACATTAAAGTATGCAACAGACTGACAAATTTCAGAGGAAGGCAGGGAGGCAGGAAGAGATTAACCAATGAACTTAGATGCATGTGTGCCTAACCCATAGGCACATACAATAGTGCAGTGAAGATCTGGGGAAGAGTTGGGAGTAGAATGGAAACGATAAAAAAGTTTCTGTAATACTTTCAATAATAAAGACAAATTTAAGAAAAAGATAAGCTTTCAGTGACTGTTAAGCAACCTCCACACTCCAAGAAAACCACATCTTTACACTGCTCAAACTCCCACATATCTCCCCCTTTCTCACCATCAGCTCACTTGTCTTTCATTGCAAAAATGTGCATCCTCAGAAGACCTCATCTTCACCCACCAAATCCCCCCAATACTCCCCTCTGTACCTAGATAGCCTGCTTTCCCTAATGAGGATTGATAAACTCTCTGTGTTCCTCTCTGAAATAATCCCTCTACTTGTGATGTGGATAGTCTCTTCTCAGGAGTGCAGGGTTGTTTGAGTGGCTTTTGAAGTTATCGCTATCTCCACAGTAATAATCCGTCTCTACTACATTATTCTCATTAACATTCACAAGTGTTATCATATTTCCCACTCAAAAAAAATCCCCTGTTTTATCCCTTCTTTCACCTGTCCACCTATTATTTGGCTTTTCTTCGTAGCAACATTTCTCTAAATAATTAATGTGTACTCCAGGTCTCCATTTCTTCACCTCTCATTCTTTCCTGGGCTCCCTGATGTGCACCGTAATAACTCTTGTCAAGATCACCCAGCACCTCCATCTTGCCAAGTTCATCGGGTCCATTCTTATTTCTGATCTTATTTGAGCTCTCAGCAGCCTTTGACTCAGCTGATAGGCTTTCCTCATTGAGCCCTGGCTTTCCTCCCACCTCACTGGATACTCTTCTCCAGTGTCCTCTGCTGGAAGCTCCTCCCATTCCTATAAAAGGCAGGTTGGTTCAGCATTTTGATTTTCTCCTTCTTCTCTATCTACACTTACACCCAAACCTGTGTGATCTTGTCCTGTGGTCATAAGTATTGCTTACATGGCGATATCTCTGAAATGTATGTCTTTCTACTTTACCTTTTCACCTGGGCTCTTATTAGGCAAGACCCACTTAAAACATCCAGAACTCCTGACTGTGGCCTTCAAGGTCCTTACCATCTGTTCCATCCCCCACCCTCTTACGTATGCAACTTCATTTGTTGCTATTTTACCCCCATTGTTCCTTCAGCTGCCATCACATCTCCTTACTATTTCCTCTTTCCCATCTCAGAGGCTTTGCACTTGCTGTTCTCTTGCCTGGAATGTTCTTTGCCCAGATTTTTGCATGGCTTGTCCCCTGACTCCAGGATCAAATGTATTTCTTTCTTTAAAAAATATATATATATATACATATTTACAAAAGGGAGAAGGAGAGCGAGTTAGAAACATTGATGAGAGAGAAACATCTATCAGCTGCCTCCTGCACAGCCCTACTGGGGATATGCCCACAGTCAAGGTACATGCCCTTGACCAGAATCAAACCTGGGACCCCTGAGCCCACAGGTCCATGCTCTACCCACTGAGCTAAACCTTTTAGGGCTCAAATGTATTTCTTCAGAGGCCTCTCCTGATCACCCTACCTAAAGTACTCTTTTATTGGTATTATTTCTTTTTTTCTTAGCACTTATCACTATTTCAAATCATATTTTATTTCTCCCCTGCTGGAATATGAATCCAAGGAGGACATGTGATTAGCTGATCCTTCTCTGTATTCCTAGTATTATTGATCACTGTCTGGCCCCTTCTAGACTTTCAATATGGTTATGGAGTGAGTGAATCAATAAATGAATTGTTTTATTTGTAAGCCATGTGATTATATAATACCTTCAATATTTTTTAATACAATGTACAAAGAAATATTTAATAGAATGGTTAAACACAATAGGAAAATGGCTGTAGCTAGGTCCTGTGGCATGTAAAGGCATTCCCTCGAGTGATATATGGACTGTTTCTTCTTGTTCCCTCTTCTGGAAATAAGCTGTGTTTCCTTGACTCTTTCCATGCAGCTGAAGAACAAGTTCATGAAAAAACTGCCCCGTGATGCAGAAGCCTCCAACGTGCTTGTTGGGGAGGTCGACTTCTTGGATGCGCCTTTCGTCGCCTTTGTTCGGCTGCAGCAGGCGGTCATGCTGGGAGCCCTGACTGAGGTCCCTGTGCCCACCAGGTAAGCTGAACCCTGACCTGCTGGTGCCTATGGTGTGGTTTTAGGGAAACTTCCCCTCTCTCAGGCTAGAAACTCAATAGACTGAGGATACATCTAGAGAGAGCATATTGGAAAACTTTAATATAAAATAATGGTTTAATCTGACTTTCATACCATCATATGACTAGGCACTTATATAGTAGTAATCATAATTGTTAACAAAACAATTTCTTGGATCATGTATTGGTTTCTTCTTATGGATTAGTCTACTTAATCCTCACAGTAATATTTTTTTAAGTATAAACTATAGGTGTATGGATTTAAAACTGAGTCTGAAAGTTTAATTAACTTGTCCAAACTCATACAGATGGTAGTTGATTCAAAGATCAAAGTTGTTTTCATTTGTTCTATTTTTTTTATCAGAAAATTTACACACACACACACACACACACACACACACACACACACTGGAGGCCTGGTCATAAAATTTGTGCAATTTGTGGGGGAGGGAGGGTCCTCAGTCCAGCCTGTACCCTCTTGCAGTCCGAGAGCCCTCAGGGGAAATCTGACCGATGGCTTAGGGCCTAAGCCAGCAGTAGCTAAAAAGGCCAGAGAGGCTTCTGCCAATGCCACTGTGCTCACCAGCCATGAGCCTTGCTCCCCCTGGGGGAACACACTGACCACCAGGGGGCAGCTCCCACATTGAGCATCTGCCCTCTGGTAATCAGTGCTCATCATTCTATCATTCGGTTGATTTGCATATTAGCCTTTTATTATATAGGATGTGTGTGTGTGTGTGTGTGTGTGTGTGTGTGTGTGTGTGTACATATACACAGACATGTAAAAATTATAAAGCTGTACCCATAACTTGACTGTTATGAGTTATGTTGCGTAAATTTTTATTTTAAAAAGAAGCATTTTATTGTTATTATAATCATGTATTTAATATACTGCATGGTATCTTCAAACTTATCCAATTTGTTTTCCTCTGCAACTGTTCTAATAGAGTTAGGAAGCTTGATGGATGGAATGTAATAAATGAATAGGAATTAATGCTTCTTTTAAACTTGTGCTGAAAAGAGTTTGAAGAGAAGCTTGTAATCTTCAAATTGATGTCTGAAAATTATCACCTGAATAGCTTTTCTGTGTGTGTGTGTGTGTGTGTGTGTGTGTACACGCGCTATTCCTGGGCCCCAGGGACAGATGACATGTCTCTTTGTTAGGTCTCCCAGGTGAGCAGGAAGGGCTATGGGTCCTCCTCAGTGATCTCAGATGGTCTGAGCATGGTCAGCTGACAATGACAAGGGGCCCAAGGTTGGTTTTGAACCAAGTTGGCAGGAAAATTACGAGAACATTCCTTTTACAGCGTCTCAATGCAGAGATTACAGGGCATTCTTCCTCATGCAGATATTTTCTTTTCCTCATTTTTATATTTCTTAGATACTTCAAATGGGAATAATACCTGTCATTATTAGGTGATCATTGGACAAATAGCTGAGGAAAGGAGATGACCATTGCTTATTCAATTAATGGGATTATCATGATTTGTGCTTTCTGTAACTTGGCTTGAAAACATACCAGCAGAGCCTCAAAGTTCTATCAGGAGAAAGCTGGCTGACTCAGATCATGGCTGAAGGCCAGCTCGCATGTCCCTATGGTTTTATTTATGTCTCTTTGGACAAACTTTACTGGAGCTCAAAAGAAAAAAAAAAAAGCCAAGAAGTGTTAAATTGCTTTTGCTTTTTCATTTTTATTATTTTTCTTTAAAAGCTAAGAACAAAAAAAAAAGTATTTCCAAAGGCTTTTTATTTAACAGTAGTATGAGATTATGGAGCAGTAAATTGTGATCATTTTTGTGTTCTTCTTATCATCTGTTCCTGCCTGTCTCATTCTTTTCCTGTGTACTGGAGCATGGCAGGAGTCTAGAGGTGAAATACAGCATCATTTGAATGAACGAAAGGAGCCCAGTAATTCAGGGGAATGTAATTCAATGATGACATCAAACTATTTCAGGGCAATAATCTGAACAATTCTAGCATGTTAACATTTTCTCAGGAAATAGTTTTATTTATTTGCTGTCCCCTGAACCACGGCAAGCTGGAATCACAGAGTAGCGAGTCTCATTAGCTTTTGGTGTGGATGAGTAATGTAGGGCCATGGACAATGGCTGCATCCTGTGAAATCCAATAAAGGAAATCCCACGAGGAGCCTGGCAGTCGTGTGTGGGACTGCCTCTGCACCAGCCATGTGCTCTCACATGCACGCCGCCCTGTTGTACTGCAGGGAGACCCAGGAAGTCTGGTTTGGGGGCACATCTTGTAATGATCTTTTCCCCTATTTGAAGGTGGAGGAAAGTTTTGCTTTTATGCTTATTATTTTTATTTATAATGAGCGGTATTACTACTGTGCACCTTTAAGGAAGTGTAACTCTGGGAGTTTCCTTTCACAAGTTACGTGGTTGATCTATTTTAGCTTTCAACCTACCAACCAAGTGGATATGATCTACTTAGGGGCCCTTCTTGCCATCCACATAAAAGCAAACAAACTTTTTTTTTAGTTTTGTTCCCTTGGTTGGATACGTTTACGATTTTCCTAGCAGCTTGCATGCACTTTGCTTGCTGTCATCTTTAGTCACACAGGCTGCTCCTAACCCACATTCATGGACTCTGTGGGAGATAACTATGATTATTCCCACTTTATAGTTGAGAGATAGAGGCAAAAGGAAGATCCATGGTCAGTGCTAAATTTAGGACTGCAGATTTTTGACTGTGAGGCCAGGGTTGTAGGGAGAATTTAAGGAGATATCTAGAATGGGCTGAAATAAAATACTGCAGGGTTTTCCCTGAAGAAGGATAAAAGCCCTTGAGCAGTTGGTCCTTTTCTGACCTTGGTTTTCATATATAAGGCTAATTCAGTGCGTTGTAGCCCCTAGAATGTTTACCTCTTTAATTTCACTGTAAGTCAATATATATTTTATGTTATAAATTAATATTTACCTAAAAAAAGTAGTTTCCACTTCATTATTAAACCATAAAATACCCTAGTAGAGGTCTTGGATTGGAGGTCTTGCTAGTTCAATTCTGTCTAGTCCAACAGCCCAGTTGCTACCTGCTGTTTACATAAGTCATGTGGTTGGTTACGGTTAAGTTCGTGGTCCTCATGAGTCTATGGTGGAAGTGAGAGTTCAGCCACATTTTCCAAAGCTGTTACATATGAATAATGGGTTATTTGATTCACTGTTGTTTTGAGAGAAGGGAGTAAAGGATTGGTAAAAGCTGAGTTTATTCTAGAAATAGCTCTAATCTATCAGGAAGGAGGGGGTGCACATCCTTTCTAAAAAGATTGAGTGGTTTAGGAAGGCTGGCTCTTTTTCTGATATTCTGCTCTGTTTCTGGCTATAATTATTTTGTGAATGTGAGTGTAGTCCATTGGTTCCGGCCACAGATCATCTGGTACTTGTTTTTGTTGTGGAAAATGCTACAGGCATCGTCCTCCCTCGGCACAGTGAGTTATATGAAAATGCTCACAGGAGTAGAAGTGCCTCGTGAAGATTCCAGAGACGAGGAGGCACTGTTAAAAATGCGAACCATGACTTATTTCTCGTTATGAATGAATCAAAATAACTCAGTAATATAAATCAGTCTTTTCTCCCAAGCTGTCAACATGGGCTGTGCCCTTCCAGCCACACAAATGTGATGTTTGCTTGAATTTGTTAATAAAGAAAAAAAGCTTCTGGTTAAAAATAACATCTGTCCATTGACAAAAAACAGCTTGGGTCATGAAAGGAGTTTTCAGTACATTATAAAAGCTGAGCTTGGCAAGATGTGCTTCAATCATAAAAGTTGTAACAGCTTTCACTTCTTTGAGGTTAAAGGGGAGAGAACATGTTTCAAGCAGAAGGAACTTGAACTTGATGAGTGATTCTGTTAGGTTTTTTTTTTTTTAATCTTTCATCCCCATTTTGACAATACAGTCCAAATTAGATACTTCCGAAGGGTCTCTTTCCTACAGATGAAATGCTCAGCCAGAGGAGATGTTTTCTGCTACTGATAGATGGCCAGATTTTCTCAAAAGTATTTAAAGGAGATGAATATACTGAATGGTTCCTGACTGGAGTAATGTGAAAATTTAACTGATACATAACATGTATTTCTATTTGGCACTTGGTGATTTTTCATTAAAGAAGAAAATTATATATATGTGTGTGTAAGTTATATATAAATATAATTTAAATATAAATATATAAATTATATTGCCTAAGAGGAATTGTACCTTTATATATGTTTTACTGAAATTATTAAAACACTATAATTCCCAGATATTGGGTTTTGCTATGGTACATGTTATATTCACCATTGGTCTGCTACTTCCATTTATTCTTTGGTGCTATTTAGCAGAGACTAGAGTAAATAATTATAAGAAACCCGAAGCACTAAATTGAAAGAACATATGCACCCCTGCATTCATTGCAGCATTATTTACAACAGCCAAGAGTTGGAAGCAGCCCAAGTCCTCTCTCAATAGATGAATTGATTAAAAGGCTGTGGTATATCTACACAATGGAATACTACTCAACTGTAAAAAAAAAAAAAAAAAAAAAAAAAAAAAAAAGAAGAAGGAAATCATATCTGTGACAGCATGGATGGACCTGGAGAGTATATGCTAAGTGAAATAACCAGTCAGAGAAAAATAAATACCATATGATTTCACTTATATGTAACAAACAAAATAAACTAACAAAATAGAAACAGATGCATAGATATACAGAAAACATGCAGACAGCTGTCAGAGGGGAAGTGTGTTGGGGGCTGGGTGAAAAGGGTGAAGGGATTAAGGAAAATAACAAACCTCATAGACACAGACAGCAGTGTGGTGATTACCAGAGGGGGCTAAGGGGAAGTAGAAGAGGGTGAAAAGCAGGGGATAAATGATGATGGAAGGGGACTTGACTGTGGGTGGTTAATACAACACAATATACATATGATGTTGCCATATAGTCAACCTGGAAATTAACTCCTGTGACAGCTGATAAATGTGTATTTCCACAATGTGTATTTGTGAACTATAATCATAATGGAGATGCTAGGGAGAGGCAAAAAAGAGGTCTAGAGTGGTTCTGGAAAAGTTTAAGATATTATGCATTACCAAAAAACCAATACTTAGATACATGGAAATAATAAAAAAAAATGGCAAGAGGAAAGACCTTATTATTTAAAAATGTAGTAAGTAGAAGATTCAGATGTCCATTTTCTCCTGTTGCAATGCACCTGTCCCCTTTTGCCTAAAACTATGTCCTGATGGTCCTACCTGACAGCTGGTCGTTGGTAGATTAGGGAATACGGCTGGGAAATGAGACCAGTGCTGTAAATGTTCCTTAATTTGTATTTTGCCTTAGTGGTTAAATATTTCCTGCATGTGTTCCACTCAAATCAGTCCCTTTAGAAAAATAAGTTTCACTGTCATAAAGGAGCACTGTATAATGTACTGTAGGTAGGGGTATATAATTTAAGCCCAGCTTCAAAGGCAGAAAAGTTCTAGTCTCAATTGAACTTCAGTGTTAGAAGAACTAAATCCAATTCTGGTAACGGTTTCCTTCATATTTGCACGGACTTTTGTGCCTGCTGATTGCTGGGGCTCTTGCATCCACTTGTATCCATTGAAAGTGGACATGCCGCCCCACTGCAGAACTGGTTGCTAAGTGCAAAAGTGCTGAAGGACTTTATTCTGAGATAAACCCCAAGTGTTCATTCTTACAGACATTTTTTACATTCTTATTTCCGGTTTTTCTTCTTCTTTGGATTGAATTTTATAATGAAAAAGAGGAATTACCTGTTCAAGAGCAGTTTGGAATAAACCCTAACACATTCAAGAGTACTTGGTGTCAATCCCTTTTTATTCAAAGTGAGGTATATAAATAAATAAGTAAAAAATAAGATTTTACTAAGCCAAGTCCTCAGCTATTCCTGGTCCCCTAAATTTCCCCCTAAGATTTCTTGCTCCCAAGAAATTTTAGGATATTTAGGGAAAGCTAAATATCCGCAGCACCTTCCCCCAGGTGAGCTATGGAAGTTGTTGTTGGATAGCCTCTCTCTACGGAATCATAACCCTGGTGTATAAGCTGGGCAGGTAATATTAAGCAGAATTGTGTACTGAAAATAAAAAAGGTTGGATGCCCTGTCTACTCTCTCTCATATAACAGGCACAGTCTTTGGGCTCATCCATTAACTTTGCTGAGCCTGTGTTTCTTCACCTTTAAGCAGGACTCGGATACCTGTTCTTATTGCAAAGGGCTGTATGGAATTTAAATGAGGTGATGAATGTGAAGTGCAAATATATGATGTGATCATTTTGAATTGTCCTCATTATCTGTGTTAAGTAAGAAAAGATCATAAACAAGACAGGGTTTTATCTGATGTTGCTTTTAGTATATATATATATATATATATATATATATATATATATATATATTTATATTTTTGGGTCTAGTAATAATTAATGTTGTTTTAAAACATCCGTTTAAAATCTTGCTTGCCGTTGACTTGTATTGACATAACCTTCAAACACGTGGTATCTACAGAATGTGTGAAGTGCAATTAACAAGTTTTGCTTGAAAAAGTTTGTGTTTGGTTTGGTTTTTGTTGCAAAACTAGGGCTAAGAAGATGGCGGATGGAGAGCATATTCGGCACTGCATGCTTTACGAGTTCCAATTAGGAAGAAAAGCAAGTGAGGCTGCAAAAAACATCTGTAGTGCTCTTGGTCAAGATACAGTTAGCGCCAGAAAATGCCAGCGTTGGTTTGAGAAATTTCGCGGGGGAAATTTTTCGTTAGATGACAAGAGTGGTCGAGGCCGTGTGTCCAATTTTGATCAAGAAGCTCTTCAAGCTTTTTTGGTGCAAAATCCTCAAATTACCCAACAAGAGCTTGCGACAACTTTAAATTGTTCACAAAAAACAATTTCCAATCAATTGCGTGCACTTGGCAAAGTCCAAAAGTTTGGAAAATGGGTTCCTCATGAGTTGACCGACAACAACCGTAATCAAAGAGTCACAATTTGCAGTTCGCTCCTCTCTCGTCAAAATCGTTTGCCGTTTTTAGAGCAAATTGTTACCGGAGATGAAAAATGGGTTCTGTATGTTAATTTGAAAAGGCGGCCTCAATGGTTGGACAAAAATGAGGCTCCGCAGCCCACGCCAAAACCTGACTTGCATGAGAAAAAAAGTGATGTGTGTTTGGTGGAATTTTAAAGGAATTCTTCATTATGAACTTTTACCATCTAACCAAACCATTACAAGTGCAGTGTATAGTGCCCAATTGGAAAGGTTAGCCCAAGCTTTAAGAGAAAAAGAACCCGCGCTGATTAATCGGAAGGGCGTAATTCTTCACCACGATAACGTACGACTGCATACTGCAAGAATCACTGCTAAAAAACTGTGCCAGTTGGAATGGGAAGTTCTCCCTCAACCTGCATATTCTCCTGATATTGCCCCTCCGGTTACCATTTGTTTCGTTCTTTGCGAAACTTTCTTCTTGGAAAAAAATGTAATAATGAAGAATGCCTCAAAAATGCATTGACCGAATTTTTTGCATCAAAATCACAAGAATTTTACAAAGAGGGATTAAAATGCTTCCTGAGCATTGGGCACAAGTAGTAGAAAACAACGGCAACTATATTGTTGATTAAATTTTGTTGTATTGTTTAAATAAATTCGATTTTTAAAAAAAAGTATTAGAAAACGACATTAATTATTACTAGACTATATATATATATAATTTTTTTTCATTCATTTACATCTCAGATTCCTCCTCCCTAGTCAAGACATATATCTTTGCTTTTGTCATCAGTGCGGGATTTTTCCCTCCATGATAAGAAATGAACCTAAATGGGGATAAGCTTATTATTGAAAGTTTCAGGACCTACTTGTGGAGCACTGCTTGTCCATTATCAAGAAAAGAACTTTGGAAAGGAAAATGAGGTTACCCACCAAAACACACACAACACACTCCACATAAAACCTTAACTATGAATGATGCTTTATTTTGCATTTTTTCCTCATAGTTTCTTTCTTTACTGTCAGCATGTGGCTTACTTGTAGAAGACCTGTCACTCCTGAGTAGAAACATTTCTTAAGCCTGGAGAAGGTCATATGTCATTGCCCAAATTGGGTAAAGGAAAGACAGAGAAATCAGAAGATGCACTAAGTTTTTATAGATATTGTATTTAATGTTTTTTACTAAAGATTCTGCAATTCAGTAGAAATGGAGAGAAAAGAAAGTTTAGACAAGATAGATTGAATGACTCAAAAAATGGAAACTTTCCTTGTCAATGAAGAAGCTTCTCAGGTTTCCATGGCCTCCAGATAAACTAAACAATGAGTTTTGTTTCACTGTAGTTGAAAGAGTATCTGTCATATGCTAAGAATGTTACATTTGTTTAAAGATGAATTTTAGACTTTAACTGTTCATGAGCAAGGATAAACGTGTCTCAATTCTATGTATTTTGAGTTTGATGATACATGTGTTATAGCCTTTGCTTCTTTCCTCTTCCATTAGGTTCTTATTCATTCTCCTAGGTCCTAAGGGGAAAGCCAAGTCCTACCATGAGATTGGCAGAGCCATTGCCACCTTGATGTCTGACGAGGTAGGAAATCGGGAAGTTGGTGATCTTCGAAAGTCTTACTTGTGTGTTTTCATACTGTTATTTGGCTGACACTGTAAGTTAATACAGTGACTTGAACTTCTTTAAAAAATACTTAACCTACATCAGTTTTAAGAATGGAAAATGTGCCCTGGCGAGTTGGCTCAGTTGGTTGGAGCATCATCCCGTACACCAAAATGTGGTGGGTTTAATTTCTGATCAGGGCACATACCCAGGTTGTGGGTTCAATCCCCAGGCAGGCAGAGGCGATTGATTGATGTTTCTTTCTCACATTGATGTTTCTTTCTCTTCCCATTCCTCATTCTAAAATCAGTAAAAATAAATACAACACACACACACACACACACACACACACACACACACAATGAAAAATGTTTATAAAATAAAGGAAAATATATTTATCCCAATATGAAATTTACTTTTTGAAAACTGGATGTCAGCTTATTTGCCATGAAGTTCATTATAAAGAAGGCTGACAACCACATCCTTCTAATTAAATGATGTACATTGAGCAAGTTCTTTCTTTGGATATTTGCATAAAAGGCGTGGAGCATTTGCTGCCTTAGATGGTTTAGTTGTTGCCTCAATAACTAGATAAGCATATAGACACTTTCTGCATTCCAGAATGTACATAATTCTTTTTGCCAGTTCTATTCTTTTCGCCTAGCTGATGATCTGAAAGTCCCTTACACATATCCTAAGTCTTTCATAGCTGGACAGATGATCACTTACACTTAAAACTCTTTGGTCTAGGTGTTGCCAATAGAGCTCAAATTTTCTTTTTTTAAAAAATAGCTAGCATTGTTTTTGTGTTTGAAAGCTGCAGTATTTTGCTCTTAACCTGATCTTAACACTCAGTTTGATCTTTTCCTTCTTGATTGATCAGCAGTGGTTTGTCCTGGTAGTTTTTATTTCAGGGAATGATTCTTCAGTGTATTTCTCCAAATCATTTTCACTTGGTTTCCATAGTAACTATATCAATAATGGTACATACCATTGGGAGATAATAGGCTATGTTATTTTATAGTATTATAGAAAAATATAAAAGAAACAGCCATTTGTTTCTCATGCCTCTCCCTTATTCCTTGGGTTTATTATTGAAATGTTTTGGGGCAAGCTGAATAACAGAAAATGTGAGAGTGTGGTTATAGTAATATTAAAGTGGATTATGGGTATGTCCTTTAGGCTGGGCATGTGAGCATGTGGAGAGTTATCCTGTTGGGTCAGCACACCTCTTCTTCTTCTTTAGGTGTTCCATGACATTGCTTATAAAGCAAAAGACAGGCAGGACCTGATTGCCGGCATTGATGAGTTCCTAGATGAAGTCATTGTCCTTCCCCCTGGGGAATGGGATCCAGACATCAGGATAGAGCCTCCTAAGAGTCTTCCATCGTCTGACAAAAGGTAAGTTATCAAGTAGTTGGGGGTGTTAAACCTCGAGAAAGATGTTATGTTTGGCAAAGGAAATAGAGTTAGGCTACTGCCCTAATATTTTTAGGTTCCCATTTAACTTGATGTAGTATGTCATCTCAGATGAATCCCATATGTGCCTAGGTTTGACATTTCATTCACACTGTAAAATGAATGTTCATGTTATGATGTTCTTTGGTGATTACATAGTAGAGATATCATATTGGGATATGTCATAGAGCCTATTTGATGATGTTCTGGGGACTCCTTGTGCATGTGGGAAGATTAGTTTACTCAAAATGATGTCCTGTAGATATAAGAGCTTAAGAAATTGGGTGAGATGATTGAGGAGAAGCCATTTTTTGGAAACCTGTTACTTTCCAGGTAAAATGGTTTGCCTCTTATCCAATATACAATTTGTTCAACTTTTCTATTTCTCCAGTCATTTGGGTTGGCTCTAAATATAACACTTTCAGAACTGTCTGTGAGAATGACAGAAGGAAATAATGATCCTTCTCCCAAACAGTTTTCAGCTTATCTCTTCATTAGCTGGTGCAGGTAAGTACAATAAACTAATATTCCCTTTTGTCTTAGAAAGAACATGTACTCGGGTGGAGAGAATGTTCAGATGAATGGGGACACTCCCTATGATGGTGGCCTTGGAGGAGGAGGAGGAGGACATGGGGACAGTGAAGAATTGAAGAAAACTGGACGGTAACTGATGGATTCTTTTGTCATTCACGATGAGGTTCTCCTCAGATATAAATTTCCCTTCATCTTTCTAACAGCATTTTATTTACCATTTGCACATTCATCCAGCTAACAGATATTTATAGTTATCTAATAGTCATAGCCATTGGGGATGCAGCAGTGAACTGAACGAAACTCCTTATCCTATGGGTCTTACTTTGTAGTGGTGGAGACAGATAATAAGCAAATCAAGGAATGTGGTGATGGTTTTATGTGGGGAATCAAAGGAGAAGGAGGCAGTTTGCATATGAAAAAGGTGTTTTAGATAGGGTGGCCTTAAAGAGAACTGCAGCGTTTGAGGAAAGTCCTGAGGGAGGTGGAAGATAGACCATGTAGATGTGGGGTTGAAAGAGGGGACAGCATAACACCTGGTGTGTGCTAGGCTGGCACTGTGGCCAGTGTGGCTGGTAGAGTGAGGGCGGGGGTGTGAGAGACAAAAAGGAGAGGTTCTGGGTAGAGTGTGTGGCAGGAAGAATGTGTAATGTGCCAGTCTTGCACACTTGGAATTCATGATTCCATCTCTTCCCTGTACATTTACTCAAAAGGAGGTAACATGTTATAGAAATACACAAGAAACTCACAGGTCCTGTTTTCCAGAGTGGGTAGTTGGGGAATTTCTAGATTGCTTTGGCTAAATCTCTTTTTATGACAATTCTCCCTTCTCCATTGCTGGGTTCTCCATTTCATTTTGGGTTAAGTAAAATTTTAAGTTGGGTACTCATTTTATGAAAATATGTCTTTTTAAAAACACTACAGACTGAGATGTCATTCTTCCATATTTCACCTTTGCTAAATGCACTGGGTATCTGCAGTTTGCCCAGCCCTATGCATACCAAGATGTGAGATTTGGCTGGGAGGGTGAGTTGACTGATCCATAAGTCAGCTGACCTGCTAACATTTGCAGTGGGAGTCAGCAGGAAACGCTGTTCTACCACATACATGCATGGCATCCTTGGATCTGAAATGTCTTCAGATTCTTACCCCAAAGTCATCTGCTCCAGAGACCTGTTCTGGCCACCATCATATTTCAACCAATGCTTTTCTCTTATCTAATAATCCTATTCCCCACTTAATTTTTTCCTTTATTTTTAGCATCATGCATTTTACATATTTTGTCTCCTCCATACAGAAAGTAAACTTCATGAGAATGGGTCTTTCCTCTCCTCCCCTCCCCTCCCCTCTCCTCCCCTCCCTTCTCCTCTCTCCTCCCCTCTCCTCTCCTCTCCTCTCCTCACAGATACTTAATAAGCATTTATGGAATGATGAATGAGTGAGTGAATTAATGAATGAGGCTGCAAAGGAAGCCATGGCAAGATTATAAAGGTCCTTGTATGAACTGCTCACATGTTTGGGTGATTTTCTTCAGACAGGGACAAGTTTATTTTATCTCAACAATTCACTCTCATCTAAAGACCAACTGTATGGTATTTAGGGAATATGACACTTAGTAATTTGGTGACTGAAAAAGGAAAAGATAGGAGAAAATTTATTTTTCCACGGTTTTCTGGTTTTATCTTAAGTGATTAAATAGTACCTTGTTCCTTCAAGCACGTTAAGTACACATTCTTTGTGGTTTAATAAGTTATCTCTTGGTTAATTTGATTGTAATTTATGTTACATCGTCGCATGTTTGCTTTCTCCTTACCCAGGTTCTGTGGCGGACTAATTAAGGACATAAAGAGGAAAGCACCATTTTTTGCCAGTGATTTTTATGATGCTTTAAATATTCAGGCTCTATCAGCAACTCTCTTCATTTATCTGGCGACTGTAACTAATGCGATCACGTTCGGAGGACTGCTTGGGGATGCCACTGACAACATGCAGGTGGGTTGGGTTTGGGGGAAGACACAAATAGTACAGCCCAGATTGCCTTTCTCACCCTGCAGCTCAGCGAGAAGCAGATGGCCTTTCAGTTACTCAGCGTGATTTTCCTTTTTTTGCTGGATGCTGCATTTTACTTTGCTTCTGGCCTGCTGCTGTATTTCCAACATTTTCGTAATTATAAAAATAGCTCGATGAAATCTGGCTTGAGTCACAAGAGGAGAAAAGGGAAGGAAATGAGGATATACAAATCTATTTGGGCAAAAGCATATCAGCTGCTTTAATTTGGTTCAGGGCATAAGGTTTAGATCTTCTACTACCTTGAATGTGTGGACCATTTTGTTAAACTTGATGACCACACTCTTTCCAGAAATACGTGGTCACCTTCATTGTACACCTGAGCCAACAGAATCATCAAAGGAGGGTAGATTTGCTTATCTGTCAGAGGAACTCAGTGTGAAGAAATACAGGATAAGATTTGTTTCTCCTATTTCCTACGTCTATTCTTTAAGCTGTAAAAACTCTGAATTGATTTTATTTTTTTCTGAACCACAATACTTTGGTGACTTAGCAGGTGGCATTTGCCTACCTTTTGAATCAGTAATACTTAATGTTTTAGTGATAGGAAAAATACTTCAGATTCTCTTAGTTTATCAGAAAAACATGCCCAAAACTACTTTTATTTGATCCAGCCATTAAGAGAAAAAGTAGGCATTGTGGGAGATATTGGACAGTGTAATGAGTGAAGGTGATAGTCTTATGTAAAGAACCAGATTAAAGCCCTTTTCTAATTCTGTCCTTCCTTTTTACGACTTATTACTGTTTAACCTATGTGACATTCCTCAATGCTGCCAGCCAACTTTATTAAAAAAAGATAGCTGATTCCAAATGATTGCTTTTCTTCCACTTCTGTTTTCTTCCTTGGCACATTTATGTTTTAGATTTCTGCCTAAACACAAAAATAGGAAGGAGACTATCTTTATTGCTCCAAGTATAAAAGGAGAGTCTATTTTGAACTAGTGTATTTAGTTTCTTGAGAATATATTTTATCTCTTAATGCTCATTTATTGCTGCATAGCATTTTATCCAAAAGCTTAGGGGCTTGAAACAACCGTTTATTCTCTCTTAGTTTGGGTGGTGGATGGACTTGGGTGGTTCTCTCTTTGGTCCTCATACACTTTCAAGATAGCAGCTGAGGTTGGCATCATCTGAAGGCTAGTTGACTCACAGGCCAGTGCCCAGGCTGGATGTCTGCAGGAGCTGGGACTGAGGACTCCTCACATGACTTGACCACATGGCTTGCATGGGACTCCTCACAGCTGGGGCAGTGACGACTCCTGAGATGCCAAGTTCTGTTGGAAAGGGGCAGTTGCCACTCAGCTCTGCTTCTTTCTACATGAAAATATACTCAATATAATTTCATTTTCTGATTTCCAAAGAGAGGTTGAAATTTAAAGTTCTTATGCGAAATCTGGTGATTTTAAATACTGGCACCTAATTGACATTTTTAAAATATATTTTTATTGATTTCAGAGATGAAGGGGGGAAGAGAGAGCGAGAGAGAAAGAGAGAGAGAGAGAGGATATGAATGAATCATCAATGATGAGAGAGAATCATTGATTGGCTGCCTCCTGCTGGAGATCAAGTGCCCTGACCTGAATTGAACCACAACTTCCTGGTTCATAGTTTGATGCTGAACCACTGAGCCATGCCAGCCGGGCCTGATTGACATTTTAAAAATAACAATGCGCTGGCCAGAGAGCACTTGTCTGCGTGTACCCAATGCCAGGCCTGCTGCACGAGGAATAGACAGTGTGGCAGAAGCCGAGGAAGTAGATGAAGAAAATGTGCTCTTTTTTCCTTTCATAAGGTAAAATGAAAAATTGAAGTTAGAGCAGTGATGTCAGCAGGTGACTTTCTTTAAAATTTGACTATTCAAATGGGATAGGTATTCTTCATGCACATGAGAGAATGGAGATAACTAAAACATAAACTTCAAGGAAATAGAAAAAAAAAAAGGAGATGTGATTTTGAGAGTAGCAAGAACAAAACCATCTTGTCTTTCAGAATATAGAGACTTTTTTGTGCAGTCTTAAAAAATATTTTTCGGTGTTATTTTGTATTAGTTTCAGGTATACAGCATAGTAGTTAGATAATTATATAATAAAAAGTGGTTCCCCAGTATTTCAAGCACCCACCTGATCCTGTACATAGTTATTATAAGGTTATTGACCATATTCCCTCATGCTGTACTATATCTGAGACTATTTTGAAATTACCAATCAGTACTTTTTAATCCCTTCACCTTTTTCACCCAGTCCCCCAGCCACGCTCCCCTCTGCCAGCCATCAGTCTGATCTCTGTTTCTATTTTTCTTGTTTATTTTTTTTTTGTGCAGATATTATTTTCAACACTTTTATTTTCATGAATGTTCTTATTGACAGAGAGACAATATGATACTTCCTTTGTGTGGTTTATTGCCTTAAATTTTAAAATAATTGGAAAAATTAAATTACAGTTTAAACTATGTAATTACACCCCAATGGTTAGACATTGCATAACTTATTAAGTTATCATCCTGATCAGTTTTGTACTCACATAACACCATACATAGTTATCAGAATACTAGAGGCCCAATGCGGGGAGGAAGGGGTGGTGGTGTCCCTCAGCCCAGCCTGCACCCTCTCCAATATGTCCACATGAGAGCAGGATATTTGACCACATGGGGGTAGCCATATTGTTTGTTGGAGTGATGGTCAATATGCATATTACTCTTTTATTAGATAGAATAGAGGCCTGGTGCATGGGTGGGGGCCAGCTGGTTTGACCTGAAGGGTGTCCTGGATCAGGGTGGGGGTTCCCTTGGGCCTTGTGGCAGTGTGGGTGAGAGACCTGTGGTGGTTTGCAGGCTGGACATGCCCGCTGGCAACCCAAGTGGAGGCTCTGGTATCTGGAATTTATTTACATTCTACAATTGAAACTTTATAGCCTGAGCAGAGCCAAGCCTCCTGCTTGCTCCTTGGCAGCCGCCATTCTGTTTGGATTTGTTTACCCTCTATGTAGCCTTGAGTGGAAGCCTACGCCAGCTAGGGCAGGCAGAAAGCTTGGCTTTTTCCATTGCCTGGGAAACCCAAACCTCCCTCCTGCTCTCTGTGGCTGAAGCCATCTTGGTTGGAGCTAATTTGCATATTTTCTCTGATTGGCTTATGGGCATGGCTTGTGGGTGTAGCAGAGGTATGGTCAATTTGCATATTACTCTTTTATTAGATAAGATTATTGACTTCATTCCCTATGCTTATTGCTTAAAAAAAAATAAAATCAACTGAATTGAACTCCTTAGCTTTAAAACACTGTATCTGAGATGTGACATTTGTTAGTCTATTGTCCATCCCTCCTAGGTGAGTTCATTTCTATATAAGTGAGTTCTTGGGAAAATAAAAGACTATTGTGTAAGATGAAATATGAAATGTGAAATGTGTATTCTTCTCCTCTGTGATAAATTACACAGAAAAGGTCTTGCTGGTGGAGTAAGCTGTTTTCTAGATTCTGAAGACTTTAGGAGAAACATAAATACTTTCCATGGTCAGGATGTTAAAAATGACCATTGGCTGGGTGTTATTTCTAGAAGTTGACTTCATTCAAAGTATCTAATTAAACAAAAGAACTACACGTTGACACTTCTGGAAGTCACAGTGGGTGGCAGAAACACTGAAAAAGTAGGCCAGAAAATTAATGATTGTTAATATATATTTGTTGAACTGAAAAATCTGTTACTAATTTCTTTTGGGTGCACTATTGCTATTAGTAAATGAATACACAGATCTAAGCACTGGGTTTATAAATCTAAAACATCTGTATAAATAGAAATTAAGTAGTTAGTACATGCACACATATACCCAACTCAGTGGTTATATAGTGATTTTACATATCCTAATATTTTAATATGAAAAACTTTACCTGTAATAATCATATTAGGTTTTCTTATAATGGTAGAGGATTATATATATGTATGTACTGGTGTGTGTGTATATATATATATATATATATATATATATATATATGTGTGTGTGTGTGTGTGTGTGTGTGTGTGTGTATGTATATGTATATACACATATAATATTCAAAAGATATATGTATACCAGTGATTATTGATATATACATATAGACGTATGTATATACATGTGTATACATATGCGCATGCACACACACATATGTATGTTGACTTGATCTCTGTTAAGAACCAAGGAGTGAGGTGGCCTGAGCTGTTGAGGTACTCGGCACTGAGAGGGTATGAGCTGTAGCCTGCAGAAGAGCTGACGCTCCAGCAGTGGAAGTCTTCTTGACTTGGCATCAGGACAACAAAGTGTTCTGTGGATTTGGTACTAAGGCCCAGGTCATTTCACAAGTCTATGGCAGAGGTTGATTCGTTCCTTTGAAAATATTTACTTAATGTCTACTGTGTGCCAAACACTATTTTAAGTGCTGGGGCAACAGATAAGTGACCAAAATAGATAAGACTCCTCTTCTGACGGCATTTACAGTCTAGGGTGTTGATAGAGCTATCTGTTTCTCTGCCCCCGGGGAGATAACCATAGTGGTGTGTAGAGGGCTCATTTAGGCAGGGGAGGTCCTCTGGCTCTATTTGACCCTCTAAACAGTAAGTCAACACAAAGCAGCAAAGCATTGGTGCAGCCTGAAATAATCTTCAATTATATCGCATGTCTTTATAAATGTGGCAGTGGGTTATTCTCAACTGTACAATCAGCTGAAATGAGTCAACTGAAAGCAGTGCCCTTGCTTTTAAAGGCAGACAGCTCAGAGATGGTTCACATAGGGCCTTTATTGTCAAGCACAAATAGACACAGGCACTGGGTAAAAACACATTGTGAAAACACAGATGAGTCACTGCATGGCTGTTGTTTAAGCACACTCTTCCGCCAGCGTCTGTGCAGGAGGTCTTCCCTACTCAAAGATAGGAATTTACATTGAAGCATTTATTTCAG